GTTCCAAAATTCGCGCAAAAAGGAGTTAGCATGAATAATTAGTACCAAATTCATGATTAGGACGTCAGTAACCCTTACAAATAGACTTTGATTGAAAAACTGGTGAAAAAGGTGTGACTAGGGACCCCCTTTTCTGGTATTCAGAGGGCCGTTCAGGAAAAATTAACCATGGTTCTGTGGTTCCCGCATGTGCCTCTATATCATGCAAAAGACCGTTTTGAAAAAGCTTGGCACACCCTGAAAGACCTTCCTTGTTAGTCCTAAACGTTTATTATAGAAAAAGTAAGAAGCTAATGTTTGTCGTGGTTTCAAACGCATAAGGCCCTCTGTGCAGTACCCCCCCCCCCTCCTTCCTCCTCAGATGGACCTCATTGAGTTCTGCTATCAAAATTAATGCCCATTCGGGGGCTGTCACCGTTTGAAATGCTTCCTTTGGGACATTGCGGTTCACGAATTGAATATGAAATCTGAAATCCACTGCTGAAGGAAACATTCTCGGGGAGTGTTTATGCTGGCGCCGATCGTATCCTGAGCAGCAGCCGCCGTCCGGCCTGCTCTCGCTAATCCCTCACAATCCGTCTATGCCAAAAAGCCGCCCGCAACAGACGTGACCAGATTAACAAGGGTAGAGACGAGTTCCGCTAATGAAGCGGCTACTAGAAACCGCCATACCGGGGCTATAAGTTATTTTACCGCCACTTACTTCTCTGAACAAACCAAGTCCTAAAATGGGGCTCTTTAGCCTTCCTCCAACATCAGCTGATCATGTTTATTGATCATCTTGCTTCTGTGCTGACTAATTTCAAAAAAATTCATGGCAGGTAGTTGTTAACCTTTGGACAGGGGTCTGATTAGATAACTTATCGCACAGCATCCCTCTGTGGACGCAAACAACAAGTACTGACAAACTAACGTCAAGTAACGACTCATGAGGCCCAATAAGAAAGCTTGTAAAGGGTACGCCATAAAAGTTTATGTTTCACCATTTAGCGCTCCTAAACCATACTTCAAGTGCCGAAGCGTGTTGCTACGGGTCAGGTTATTGTTACACTCGCGCCGAGCATTACTATGTCGTCAATATTGCCATGCGCATCTAATAGGCAAACGGAGATAAGACATCTGCTGATTTATCTCTATTAGTGCGAACCATTTGAGGGAACCTCCCGAATGTGGCTGTAGTCACTCATCACCTAAGAACTGCGTTATTTTAGACGAATGTGAACCGACGGCACTTGGCATGGAATCCGGAGCCATTTCCGATGCTCAGATCACTTCCAGTAGCAGTTTCGATCGACAAAGCGTAGGGCCACAAAACTCCAGGTATTTACTTGAAATTTATCTACTGATGGATGTTTCTAGAATAAGAATTCTGTAGGCTGAATAGAGTCGCTCACATATGCGAATTCCTGCGTGGGCGG